GCAGGGGGGGTGTGAGCGTCCTGGGTCTTTGCAGGGGGGGTGTGAGGGGGGGCTGCTGGCGCTGAGGGGCTCTGCAGGCAGGCGTGGAAGTTGAGGGGGTGGTAGGGGTCGTTGTTCCGGCAGAGCGAGGTCCACAGGAGCTCCTCCTCGTCTTCAGGTGGAGGAGGGCTGCTCCAGCTCTCCTCTGCTTCTGAGCAAAGCTTGGGGGGGGCAGCGGGGAGCGGGGCCTGCTGCAGGCCGGCCGTTTGGGGGGGGCGTGTGCAGCTCACCGTGCTGGCAGTGAAGCACAGGGGGTTGTAGGGGTCTTGGGGGCTGCTGAACAGGTCCCAGAGGCGCTGGCTCTCCTCCCGGTCTACGTCGGGGCTGGAGCCCTCTGAGCCGGCCCAGCTGCTCCAGCTGCTCTCACTGTCCGAGCGGCTCACCAACATGTCCAGCACGGGGGGGCCCACCACGTCCACGGCGGGCCGCTCCGCGTGGCCGTTCTCCGGGGTTTCACCCTTACTCCTCCCCATGTCTGCGGCGGTGGAAACGCAGGCGGAGAAAAAGAAGGGGTTGTATGGATCGCTGGATCTGGAAAGAGACTCCCAAAGCGCCCTGTTCTCCTCGCTGTCGAACTCGGCCACGCTCTGCTCCTCCTCGCTGCACTCGCTCCACAGCGGGCTCCTCTCCTCCTCCGAGGCGTCCGGTCTGAAGGCCTTCCTCCTGGGCAGACCCGGCTCCGGGGCTCTGTCAGGGCTTTGGCAGCCGTCGCTGGACCCGGAGCCCTCGCTGCTGGACACGAAGATGTTCCAGTCTCCGGGGAAGCCCATCTGCCAGCTGGACTGGTGTCCCAGGAAGATGCCGTCCTCTTTGCCGGACGTCCTGGTCACAAAGTCGTCCACCAGCCCGCAGCACAGGTCGTCGGCCCGCAGGCTGGACAGCAGAGCCTCAGCGGTGGACTTCCCCGAAAAGGGGTCCCCAACGTCAGCGCAGAAGTTGGAGGAGAACAGGAAGGACTCGGAGGGGCTGGCTGCTGTGCTCATGTGCTGGATGTGCTCTCCCGTTTCGTCCGTGATTCTCACGTGAACCTCAAACCTGAACATCTGGAAAACTGTAAAAAAAAATAAAAAAGGTTTATTAGTGGATACAAATTGGGGTAACTTAAAGCTCTTTGCGAGTAAATGAGCGGCTGTTAAGTATTAACCGTTTAATTGGGTTGACTGTAAACGGTGCTATGCGTGGTACGTGACTAGAACGCCAATAATCCGGGGAGCGTCGTACCTAAACGCCTTCACGGGGAAACACTGGGACAGAGGGGGAATTACCATAAATTACGAGAATTTAAAGGACGTAAACACGACAGAAGTTAAATCTCTCCCACCCAAAAATATTCATCTAACTGGGCGACGAACGTCACACCCACATTAAAACCTTTAAAAAGAACAATAGTAACGACCCTGGACATTCCAACAGCTGTGAACGTCTCACGAAGACTTAAATATTGCCCCCTCCAAAAAGCTTAAAAACAAAGAACGATTTCTTAATTGTACTTACCAGACATGAATGTGTAGTAAATGACCTGAACCAACAACCGAAGCTGTTCCCAAAGCACGGTGAGTAAGTGTTTGGTCCAGGGCAGAATCGCCATCCCGCCGCTGCCGAGGCTCTCCAACGTCCGCTCCGAGACCCTCTCGGAAACACTCGTAGCCATTTTTACTTCTCCTCGGACTGTAGCGATTTTCAGGGAGAATTTTCACGTATTCTGGTATTCCTCAACAAAAACCAGTAAACTCCGCGAGTGTGTCGGTGACGGATATGCGTCGCTGTGTCGTCGCTTCATTTTCAGAGAGGTCCGAGTCATTTTTTGCTCGTCAAACGTACTCGTACAATTTCTCCATGTTTCTCTTGTCTTCGTTGTTGTGGTACGGGTGAATGTCTCGGCGTTGCGCCACCACCTTATTTATATACACGTTGACGTCACACCGAGCTGCGATTGGACAAGGCTGCTGTCACTCAGCCAGACAGCCCACCATAGGTGTCACCTTACCGGTTCGTGCGTGCGTGATGTCACGAAAGGAATGACGCAGAGAAAGTGCCCGTAATTTCCCCTAAGCTCAGGAAAACCCTCCACTCAAATTCAGTTCACAGCCTAAACTTGAGTCATATGATGAAACGGAAAGTAAAGCCATTTGAAAACACCATTTTTGAAACATTACAAAAAAGGAAAACCCAGAATTTTGAATTTGAACTGTTTTATTATTCCAAAAAGAGTAGTTTATGCCACCAGAGCAGAGGCTGTAGAGGACTCGCTGTAAAAAGAAGGATAATATAAATTAACTCCACATTCCCTAAATTAGGACTAATCTAAACCAAATTACTCATATTCACAAAATAATGTCCTAAAAGATGTTAGGAAATATCACAATTAAACAATGACTGGTCTGATATGTAGTATTTCACTTGTAGCTTCTTCCTCAAAGCATGAACACATTTTACAGGAGTTCATTGTGTGAAGGGGACTGGCAGAGATGGCATTAATTAGCCATTCTGCTAATTTACCTCCAAATTTTATCTAGCACAACAGAAATATCCCCACTCTTACAATTTTGAAGAGTAGGACAATGAATTGTGCATTTAGCAGCAACTGGAAAAACCAAACAACAAAAAGCAAGTTTGTGACTGTTAATTAGCTGGGGGGAAAAAGCTCAACCATTTCCTATATCAGTAAAATTACATTCCCCAAAGTGACTTTCAAAACCCACGTGAAACTGGGTAGTGTTTTCTAGTATAAATGCAATACGTACTACTTCCAGTTGGGGGCCAGTACTCTCTTGGTCTTGTAGTAACGGGCCAGCCTGTGGATCCTACTCTCAATGAGAATCAGGCGGAACTTGGCATCCTTGTCCTGGGAGTATTAAGAGCAATGTAAGAACATAAATGCAACATCCAGCTCGGCTCAAAGTGTCCATCCAAAAACGTTCTGACACGACAGCCAGACAGGATTTTGAATACAAAGAAAGACGAGTCCCATTTTAAAGAAGAGGTTTGGTAAATGTACCTTTCTGTTTCTCTCCAGGTGCTTCCTGACTGCCACGGCCTTCTTGATGAGGTGGTAGAGATCCTCAGGCAGGTCCGGGGCCAGACCCTTGGACTTGAGGATCCTCAGGATCTTGTTGCCAGTGACAAATCGTACTTGGGCCACACCATGTGAATCCCTCAGAATCACACCTAGAAAAGGAAACAAACGCGATAAGACCGACACGTTGGCTTGAACCAGGGTTGTGACTAAGAATTCACCAAGTTAAAGTAGAATAATGCACTAAAAACCCACCATGGCCTTAAAAACACAGACAAAAAAACCCAACTAGATATCCAGGTAAATGCAACTGGTGTTCGAAGTATAAAATTGCAAACTGTAATAACACTTTGGAAGCTGGAAAAAAAAGTTTACTTAATAATCCAATCACACAGATTTCCAAAGCCAGCTCAGGCATGCAGCCACCATAGATAGTCTCGCTGTCTTTCCAACACTTTTGTTTCATCATAGCCTGGTTTTTCCACCTGGTGCAGACAATGCTGACCAGACAGGCACCATGTCTGGACTGATCTGTCCAGTGGTTTGGAAGCTGACCAAGCCAAAGCTCATCTCCAGCATAAGCTGCTTTCCAGTAAGCTCACCATCACCTTGTGCGATCAGAAATGTAAAGCAGTTACTCCTCACACACAAAAGAAATCCTATGAATGGCAGCAGTCCCAGTCCTGAGGCGACCTAAATACTCCTTTCTCCAGGTGAAAATAGAAATACTCAATCTAAATAAAATTGACACAAAACTATTTTTAAAAATGAACCGCTTTACACACGCACCTCCACACCCAACTTTTTAACGGTAACTTTTTAGCGCAACATTTAAAAATAAAAGACACAATCGTGTCAATAAAACACAAGGAGGTAACAAAACTGAAATCCGACCCAAATCTTAGCCTTTATATGTCTCTGGATGTACTGTCCACGTTCACACGGCTGGTTAACATCTGGATATGCGCCGTTTTGTCTTAAAGGAGCCTCTGAAAATCTCAAAGAGAATGTGACTGTGTCTGCCGTTCTTAAAAAGTCTGACAGAACCATTAAACTCGCACATTTCATGTCTGAAATGGCTATGAGTAATAGTAATGTACAGGAATCATAATAAAACAAGTACCACACCTAAAATAACCTCGACAGGACCTAACAGAAATGTACCTCAACTAATGCTGGTAACTACTATGTCAACTTCAATAAGTCTGAAATAGCATCTTTGTCGATTCTGCTTCCAATTAAAAGTCACATCTCGCAGTTCCAAATGCTTCAGATTTGCAAGTCAATACTTTCCCGAATCCCATATTAATCATTTTATATCTTTAACGTCTATCGAATAGGTGAGGACACACCAAAAACAGAGAGGCAGCCTTTCAGGTGTCTCTGAAATGATCAGATTAATTGTATTAAGTAGTTTATTTGTCTATTATGAATACTCACCAATCTGAGAGGGAGTCAGGCCCTTTTTGGCAAGCTTGAAGATCTGCTCTTTGACATCATCAGATGTGAGCTTGAGCCACTGTTTAATAAATAAAAAAGAAAGAGGGTTAACAAATTGTTTTCTAAGGTTGCTAAAATTCTAATTTCGCCATTTTGTGCATACTCACAGTAGGAACGCTGCGCCTGTATGGCAGAGCTGACTGGGACAAGCCCTTTCTGTGGGCGGAAAACCAGTTAAGACAACCTCATAGTTGGACCAGAAATACATAAACAATATTATTTTGTCAGTTCATCCAAACATCTGTGGTAAATAGGCCGGCTAAAGCTATCTTCACGCGCGTGCCAACAGGGCCGTTACGGGGCATTCATTACAACCCCTTGAATAGATCAATACTACTAAATAAAAGCTATATTGAGTTTAAAACGACGAAAAAAAAATCAAATTGACTCTGGGTTGATAAACCTAAATGAAGGAATAAGTCTTGGGTCGCCGCAAGTGTGCTAAGTCGCTAACGGTGGCTAGCAAAGACGGACACCCACACGGGGCAGCGGGTCTTTACGAGTAAAAATGTTCGGTTGAATCAACTATTACAACTATGTTTTCCATCCTGTGTCGGGAAGAGAATGTTTATAAGCTGTGTTGTGCTACTAAGACGGCTTTAACATATTAGAAATCGACATTTCCACGATAAAAAGGGAGCTCACCCGGGAGCGTGCATGCGACCCATGATGGCGGTAGAGGAAGAGAGGCCGCACACGCGACGGAATATGGTGTTTTGCGCCTGCGTCGGAAATGACGCAATGACGCAGGGAGGCGCTTATTTCCTGTAGAAAATAAAATGTACTCCATACTGATAATTGTGTTACTTATTCTGATATAAATGGAAATATATTGTAAGTGTAAAGTACCTAATCAATACTAAGATTGCAAACTGTTAAGATCAGACTTCTTAAAAAATATTTTTAAAGTAATTTATATTTATTATTATTGGATATTACAGAGAAAAATAAATAAAAACGTTCATTTATTTTGAGAGTCGAAAATGATGAGCCATATATAAAATATTGACGGACAAAGGCCGAATCTGGATGACTTCCCTTGACCTTTCCACTATTATGTTGATGAAGAGAGACTTTTTCTTTTGAAGAACAAATGAGAATTGGCCGTGTTCCTCCTGAGCATTGGGTTTGACTTTATTACCACCACTTCTTTATTCCCCTATAATTCAATTCAGTTTTATTTCTATAGCGCCAAAACACAATAACAGTTGTCTCACAGTGCTTTCCAGAAAGAGCAGGTCAGACCCTACTCTGGAGTTATTTACAGAAGCCCAACAATTACTAGTATTTAGGAATCATGATCCAATATATTTTTGATTAAATTATTTGGTTGTGGAATGTTTGACTTTAAACAACAGTCTTAATCCATGTCTGTGGAGCTAAGAAATAATAAATATACTAAAAGTTAACTTTTTGAAGTAAACTATACAAAGAAAAAGTTATTCATACAACAAAACTTGGGAGGTGTTAAACTTCTGCACTACACACCTGTTGGGGAGATTTGCCCAAACAAATTCAGTTTCCAGAAGGCTGTTGGTTGGGCTGTGTCCACAAGTACATTCCACAAATTTCTTACAAAGACACACAGCGACACTTTGTTTGTTCAAAAAAACATTTAATTTGTTTTAGGAAAAAGAGAGATTACAGTACACACTGATCCATTCAGGCTAGAGGTCACCAATTAAGAATAAATAACTGGCCGTGTTAATACACTCTCTTTGCTTTCTTTGTACAGTCTCTAAAAGAGCAGATCAAGCCACTATGTGAAAGTTCATTATGTGAAATCCAAACCGTTTTGTGGATCTTTTTTAGTAACTTCATTGTAATTTATTTATTAAACATCATCTTTAGATTTATAGTTAAGTGAATAAGGAAAGCAGGTACCTCTTGCAGAGGATCTTTTTTTCCCTTTTTGTGAAGATGTTTTACATCAAAGCTACTGACATCCGGAACGGTTTCTCACTTAAATGTCTAAGCTCACTGGTTCCCAAGATCACATGCAGGTATTGCTGACTCAATTCCCAGTTTTTTTAAAATCATCACTACATCATTATTAGGCACTGGGAGTGAGTGTGGTATTGCTGGCCGAGTCTAAACAGCCTCATGCCCAATCCACTGGAGGGATTTCAGTTACTAAATCACGGTTTAGAACCACCGAATTGACTTCTGATCAGCATCATAAGGCTAACATAATATTCATTTAGAACACAGACAAGAGTGTGTTCCCAAGCTTATAATACAATTTCCCCTTTAAGATGTGCTGTGTGAAAATAGTCAAGTAATAAAATGAGAGAAAGACCTGGTAGTGTGCATCTAGACATTCCACTGTTACAAAGAAAATCGGCTCCAGTCTGGCACCAGATCCATACTGGAAGAACTACTGATATAGCTTTACAGAATATCTTTTCTTTCTTTTTGTTTTATTAAGGACATACCACATTGTTAATAAAATATACATATAGCAATAAGGCCAAGTTGAGTATTAAAGAGAGATTGTGAGAACAAACAAAGGCACGCCGCTCTGCTCCCTACAAGGGAGAGTGGTTTGATGTTCAGTCCTTTTCATTCAGTTTGGCACATTTTGGGTGAATGATAATGTTACCACGGGTTTCATCATATCTGGTGTGTTGGACTACTCTACCCAAGAGGTCTCTGCTCCAAAGCAGGAAAACCCGATGCTTCTTATTCGTCTATATAGAAAACAAAACGGGCAAAAATGTATACTCTTCTGAAAGGAAGCTGTTTTGGTCCTCTAATATCAAAATGTACAAAACATTACATCTCTTTGTTATACTCGAAAAAAAACTAAACAAAAAGGAGATTGTTTGTCACAAAAACAATCATGATTAGCTTCAGCGGAGGCAAGAAGAGGGGAAATTAGAGACCAGCATCCCCGTTCAGGGCTTGTGAGTTGGCAGGTTGGGTTGCCTTTAGGGTGCGTCTGGAGGAGAACATTCATTTCATGCGGGGATAATCTTTGGGGCATCGGGATAATCCACAAACTCATGATAATGATCAGAATCCACCTGTAATTTGAGACCAATGTTTTTAGCCATAAACTCCTCCAAATCCTGCAATCACACCTTAACTTAATCAAGTAGAACAGGAGGTGAATTTGGTTTGTTAGAATTCCTGTTTATACTTGAAATGTGATGACAAATCCCTCATTAAAGCAAATCAGGGTAGTTTTTGTGAGTATTTCAAGTAAGATCACATCTGTTGGATTTCTCATAAGATCTGAATGCATGTGTTCTTTGTCCAGAGAGGCAGAGGCGAGCGGCAGGGGGGGGTCAGAAGTAGGGAACGGCCGTCAGTTTGTACCACTTCACTGTCTCCTTGCTAAGGTCAAAGTCTTTGAGTCTGAGCGTGATGCCGCCCAGGAAGTAGTTCTCCCGCAGAGACTCAGCACTGAGCACGCTCAGCTGCAGCTCTCGGAGACCAAGTGTTTCTTTGCTGTAGCCGCTGTAGACCAGCTGAAGGGCAGAGAGGGGAAAGAGTTTAGTCTGTTACATGAGAGAAAACTCTCACGTAAGGCAAGCACCAACGGCCCGATTCTCAGATCATCAGCATCTCTCCTGTGTCATCGTTTTCTAATTTAGGAAGAACAAAGGACCCCTGCATGTTCTCACCATCTCGTTGAAAGTGGGGTTCCTGGTTTTTCTGGTGATCTTTGTCTTGCGTTTGGAGGTCTTGTGTGGATCTGGGAGCAGGTAGGTTTTCACATATGGGTTGGGATCTGTTCCGTCCTCGGAGACCTTAGGGGTTGAAATGGTTCATGAGTATGAGAACATGTGATCAAAGGAAGAATGACGCGGCATAAACCCGTCAAAACAGCATCTCAGGATGTCTACTTCAGAGTTTCTGCGTTTACCAGGTCTCTGATATGCATAACCATGATGAAGAGAGTGCTATTCCGGTAGGAAATCGAGAGCTTCACTTCTCCTTCGACCCGACCAGAAGTAGGACTGAGTGGAGGCTCTGAAACAAAAACAATTACAAATATCACTCTGATGCTGGTGAATTTACAGGAGTAAAAAAAAAAGAAAAGAAAAAAGATATCTCATTAAATCACACCGTTTTCACTCAAGCTTTTGGTACTGATGCAGCTTTTGGATTTGTTTTAACATTTTTTTGCTCTGAACAAACAAACAAATGAGAATGTTGTTAGTGGGGACAGACGGGGCTCAGTGGCTTATTCAGGCTGAACTCAACATACAGACAAATTTGAGACTCTACCTCTTTGAGCTGAACCTATTAGTTATTAACTAAAGTTATTATCCAACTTTAAACCATTAAACATTAACGTCGACAACCTTTAAATAGTTTGTCTGGTGGGAAAACCATTAGAGGAAGACTGACATTTAACCTGGGTGTTTTACTGCAGGAGCATCATAAAGAAACCAAAAGCAGTTACAATGCAATGCAAAACGTTTGAGGAAAGGAAACGAAAAGCTTAAGTATTCACCGGGTGCTTTGGGCGTGGAATCCAAGCCTTCCGTCCTATCGTCCCGTGCAATTGGATGAAAGAAGGTGTAGATCAGGTCACACTGGAATGTAGCAAGAGAAGTTATTAATGAACTCGCCCCGTTCCTGAGAGCTGACCCTATGGTCCTCAGTGGGAGTGTTTGTACCTCAGTGACCTCTGTGGAGCTCCTCATCAGGTTGTGGACGTAGCTGTTGAGCTCCAGCTTCCTCCTGGCTGCCACCTCCTTAATGTGGGTGCGACCGAGCACCATTTTGTTAGGGAAACTACAGACAAATGGAAAAAGTATTTGAATGATCTATCCCAGACAATTCAAATTAAAATCCAGGTTCACACAAGACTGATTCAGTATACCCTGGGTGGGAGTTTTAGTAAATTGTTTTAAGACAAAACGACTAGCTGATCTTTGGGGTCAACATAACAACAACTAGAAAATGTTAACAAATCAAAATGTAGAAGAGAAGGGAACCTCCTACCCGGGCAGCTTCCAGAGAGGAAAGAGAATGGTTAGTTTATTGTGGAGCTCCTGAAACTCGTCAAAAGTGCGGAAGACAAACTGAGGCTCGTTCTGACCTTCCCTGAGGAGCCTCACAACGTAGGTCTGCAACGGAGAAGGAGGAGAGACAATCAGGCAGTCTGGTTGAACACAATCCAGATAAATCCACATGTGTGATGGCACGTTAAAACACAAAAAGGTAAACATTAAAAAAAGCTGTTCAGAGACTGACATAGTGCTTGTCAGGGTTGTATCTCTTCTGGAAGGAGAAGATGGCGGCATGGAGGATGCGTCCCTCCTGCTTCAGAGTGTAGGTCTTTGGGGAGAATGAAAGGATTGGCTCATCGTTGGCTGGAAGTCCTGAAAATCGTAGCTGGGCCAGGTTGTGGATGAAGAAATTGAACTTGGTGGCCACACTTCCCAGACTGGACTCTATCAGCCTGTGGCAGGGAGAACATATCAAATATATTTGAACTACAGTTCAAAACAAATATATATTTTCAGCAAACAGATGTCCTTTTAGTCCAGACTGATTGGGGCCGGCGTTCTGAAAGCTTGCTCTTTCTCCCCTCTAAACCTATTCTGCCATCTGGTGGAAGTTTTTCAACAGGCCTAAAAAAAACTCCCCTTAGCTGCAACCCAGAACAGGAAATGCCTGTTGTGCAAGTGAAACCACATTTTAAGGTTTCTAAAAGAAGGTTAAAAAAGATCTGAGCCATGAAGCTGATCCTCAGTTTTTGTTCTTCCCTCCAACACAGACAGAGCTTACAGTATTTACCTTGTGAAGAAAATGGTGGCCTCGGCATCTGTGTTGTGTGGTTGCAGGGCATCAAAAACATACTTTAGATCCTGAGAACCAGTCAGCTCCGGTAGGCCTGATGACATCATCTATGGCAAAATGACCACGGACACGACATTTAAAGACATTAAATGAGTCAAAATTTCTCTAAGTTTCGCTGACCTCGTTTACAACTACGCCCGACTGTATTGCAAGATAAGCATCATAAAAAGAGATAGAAGTGATTCATTATGTGACGTTGCCTTGACAATGCAACTTTAAAATATGAACATATGAACCATTCAACAAGCCTTTCTGCCGTCTTTGTAGGCTGTAGAGCCTTCCTGTATTGTTGCAGACAAACATTATGCATGTGGACCATCAGTGTACATGGGAAGGCAAGGGAGAGAAAAGCTTATCTGTGTAGCATGTTTCATTGGCATTGACCATGAAGAGACTTGTGCACAAGCAGAGCTGTTTTAAAGTCTATTCTCTGAGCAACAGGAAGTCAGCGCAGAGACCTGAGACCTGGACTAACTGGATCATATTCCCTGGTTCTGGTCAGAACTCCAGCAGCAGCATTCTGGATGTTCTGCAGCTGGATCACAGCTGGTTCAGAGCCCAGTAAGCAGCTGTTACTAAACCTGCTAGAGACAAATGCATGGATCAGTCTTTCTAGATCTGCTTTAGACTCTGTTCCAAAGTTTTTGAGATGGTAAAAGGCTGCTGATGTTACTTCTTTAAAGCTCAGGTCTGACGCCAGTATTACCCCTAGACTTTTTTACCTGATTTCTAGGATCCAGAGGGAGAGTCTGAAGGTGACACTTTCTCTTCGTTTCTGTGGGCCACAGACAACTGGAGAACGTGTGTGTGACTCACCAGAGACAGCAGGTTGAGGAAGAGCCCGGAGTGCTTGCGGATGAGGTTGTAGGCCTGGCAGCACAGGTCTACAAACAGCTGGAAGCGGCTGGTGGGGCGCTCGCCTCCGTTAATGACGTATGCCATGTCGGAGGTCAATACGAATGGAGCTCGGTCCCTGATGGGGAAGACGGAGGGGACTTTTGAGCATTAAGTCAGTTTCTAAAGTCAGTTTCTGAAACATATTTGTGGACAGGCCACTGGTTTCAAATCTCAGGAAAATCTCTGCGGGGTACTTCAAACGCTTTCCAACTCTGTGACGCAACAGTATGTCCTGTTGCAGTCAGCTGAAACACAACCTTTAAACTACACTGATAACAACCTGACTAACAGCATGCTACACGATTCTTTATCGGAAAAGCAGCTGTACACATATACAAATGTGTTCTCGTCATCACCTTTTGAAACTTCCAAACATCTGGGCATGGCCCAGGAACTTCCCAAAGTCGATGTGAAACATGTGACCCGTGGAACGCAGCATGATGTTATCATTGTGGCGATCGCAGATGCCTAGGACATAGGTCGCCACGCAGCACCCGGCGCAGGAGTAGATAAAGTTCTCTGATGCCTGGAAGATTAGCATGACATAAAAAGGTACCTTTAGACCATCTGTGAAGAAAGTACTGTGTAATTAAAATGATCTATAATGACTCAGTAGAGCATGGGGTGAGTAAGGGTGACAATAAAACTGCTTTATTTGTTTAATACCACTAAGGAACTTTGCTTTCTTAAGGAAATAAAAGAAATATGTTTTTTTTTGTGGAATTTGGCAATGGACCAAAGTTCAGGTTCAAATTTTCTACATTTAATGCTTAAGGTCATATGGGTTGGAATAGGGGTGTACATTTTCAAATCCGTTAAAAGTCAAAGTTGGAACAGTTTGACATCTCTAATAGAGTTTTACAGTCATTGAGAGGCTCAACTTATGCAATCAAACAGAACGATTTCAATGTTTCCAAGTTTTATCCCACATCACATATCCTTAAAAAAATCTGACATGAGATGACCAGTATAATACCACCTTACACTCCCACATGCTCTGTGGTTTGTTTGGTTTAAAACCTTTAGCTACTGTATGTATATGTGTGTCGTTGTTTTTACCTTCTCATATTCGTCTTCAGCGGGGTTGTACTTGCGGAGCCACTCCGCCAGAGGTTTGTCCTTAAAGGACCCAGTGACGCCATACTCCACCTGAATCTTTCTCAGCGTGTCAGAGGACGGCACCAGCTCCACCATACCTTAAAGCAAAAGCTCTGTTACTGACAAACTGAAAGCCTCAAAAGGACAGAAGCCTACTCAGACCGAGCTGTTCGAGGTTAGTCGGTTAGAGTTGTAATAGTTTGTATACATGATGGGTTTCTGTGCATGATTTTTCTAAAATTTCTGTTCCTCAATGAAAGATCTACGCATTGCTCATAAAGGCAGATTTAAAAAGTGGCAGACGGGACTGTGTCTGTGTGCACCGGTTAGACACCTTTGTCCTTGCCAGTAGAGATGCATTTGAAGTTGACAATGCGGAGGTCCAGCCCCTCCTGCAGCCAGATGCGGTCCATGATGCGAATCATCTGAAGAGCCAGCATGTCCTGCCTCAGGTCTTCTCCCACCTGACGATAAACACATGAGCAGAGTGGTGGATAAATACAGCATGTTTGGGGGATATTCTAGTTGATTCTACTTCAGCCACCAGGGGGGGCAGTGCTTTAATGAGAGGCAGGAAAACAACCCTTGGCCACTGGAGGCTAGTTGGAGCATGATGACAACTCCCTTGCTTAAACAAACAGCACGTGACAGAGACACCAAACCAGTTTCAGTGCTATCTTTCATGACCAATCAGTGGGTACATTCAGACTACCCCCCCTTTCCTTAGTGTGAATATACTGTACCTTAAACATGACATTGATCTCCTCTCCCAGTGGGTCAGCATTGACCAGAGCAAGCTTGAGGGGAACTGCGTTGGAGTTGAAGAAGGAGCAGGCCTACATACAAATACAAGCAATAATATGTTATCTTTAAAAGGATGTCAAGCGTCAAAGCAGTCTATAGTTAATAGCCAATTAGAGTGTCAGAGCTTCTACAAAAGCCGGCAGGCAGCTGAGCCACAAAAGAAGTTCTTTGTGGTAACTAAATACAATCCTCTGTGGTTAATTAGGAGATATTTCAACTCCCACATTTCATTTTGTGCCAAGTAACGACTATTCACAAAAAGGTTTTAGGAATATAGCCATTACAGTTCACCGTCTATAATTAGAAAAGGCAAAACAAAACCGAACACTTGAGAACATATGTCCATGGGGTTTGTATTTGACTGAGAGTGTTGCATAAGGAGTTTGTTTCTGGTGGTTTCTGCCGCTAAGGTCCCGCTCTGCTGCATAAATGCTCAGCTCAATAGGTTTTCTTCTTCTCCTCTTAAAATGTGTACTTCAATTCAGTGCATATATGAATAAGCCAATATATCCTAGATTTTGTGTCATCAATCATAAAGGACTATGACTAGCAAAAAAACTAGCAAAAAGACATGCTTCCCCCCCATGACCAGCTGAGGGTGGGTGTCATACTTTGATGTTTAACTCCTTGGCCACCAGACTGGGGCTGAGGGGCAGTCGGCAGTTGTTCCTTTGGAAGAAATTCTGAACATTTTCAAGGCCATCTTGCAGTGCAACCTATAGATAAAATAGGTGAAATCCACACACATAATTAGAACCACGTACAGTTCTGCCGGTAAGAAAAAAAAGCACACATGCATGGACTGGCCTGTCGCGTGGATCCCCCGGCCTGTCTGACCCGCTCGGCTACGGCGCCCAGCAGAGTGACCAGGTGCGTCTGTTTCTCTAGTTCCGCCCTTAATTTGGCTCCACACAGAGCCAGCAGGGCACCCAGCACCCGCTCATAGCGCTTTCCCCAGGTGGGGTCCTGCACGGCATCCTTTAGCAACCTGCAGCCAGGAAAAGAGTCACATTACGGGGCGCTTTCATCCTTTTTATCATGATGCCTTTAGGCTTTCTGAGCATGAAAATAATAGAAAAAGTCATACATTAATGTTATGGCATGTACTGATTTCCAATTTGGCCTCAAGTAAGTTCAGTATCTGGATTAGAACTCAATAGGTGGCCTAAAATTAATTCATGCTTATCATTCATAACCCCTGCTCTGATAATAGAAGAATCTATTTAAAGGTAAAGATTTTCTCGTAAAATAAGCCTTGTAGAATAAATGCCTTACAAAACAGCTGAAATTTTAAAAAGTTTGAAATATGTGACTTACTTTCCAAGTAGCTTTGCATAGAAGCCTCTGCTAAATGCATACACATAAATCTAACATTCTAAGGTATGATAAATAAGGTGATAAAAAGCTATATGAACACCTCCAGTTATTTAATTCTATTTTCTCTCTGCTTGAAAGAACCGATTCTGTGCCAGTGTTTCTTTTTCTCATGTGTCCGGCCTAGTAGCCAAACACTTAGGAATTAGTCAGCTTGTGTTTCAGAGCTGCTCCGGACTCACCAGTAGAGGTAATGGGCTATTCTGACGTTGCCTTGTGCTCTGGACAACAGAAACATGACCAGAGCGTTCTTTAGGTGACAATCAAACTTTAATGCCTGAAGGAGACCGCAGGAAAATAAGGAAAGGGACATTTGTATTAGAATTGTGGGTAAAGACAATAAGTCTTGGTAATTCTTAGAAAACTGAAGCTTAGTGCAGTTGTTCACACCTGTACCAGCTGTGGCAGGTAGTCAGCCAGCTCATCGTCGCTGTTCTTCTCAATCCAACTGACCGCCACGCTTCTCACCTCAGTATCCGCAAACCTACACCAACACACAAACACACACACACTGAACAAACACTACACTGTACTTGCATGTAAGGCTAGGAAAAAAAATCTATGAAAAAAAGACAATAGTTTACTGTTTGTGTGCATAAGCACAGGGCATACTTTGAGTCCAGCAGCTCCAGAGCAGCGACCGGAGGCAGGGCGGGCCAGCGGTGCAGCAGGGAGTGGATGTGGGCCATGCTGGCCCAGTCCCAGCCGGGCGCGCTGGCCAGCACCTTGGGAAGGCTGCTGGGGTGGTCCCTCCGACAGTGGAGCCGGTGGTCCCACAGGAGCTGGTGATCGGATCTCTTCAGCCTGCGCAAAATAAGAACAGAGGGGAGAGGGCAGATCCTTCAGATGGAGGTAGTGAAAAGAAAGTTATACAGGGAAAAGGAAGTTAGTCTAAGTTAAGCACAATTTCACTGGATTGCTTCCAGGTCTGCACTGGATTACCTGTGGAAATGAACACACACTGTTAGGAAGGCATTGAGTTATAAAAAGTGTATCAAATATAAATTCATCATCACGTGGTACAAAGTATGTACTAGTATGTAACATCTTTTTAATTTTGAATGGGAAAAACAAAGAGCAAATATGAGACAGACAGTCTTTTCTGAACAACTGAACATGCAGTAACACAACCATAATGAATGGAGTTCCTCAAAAAAATCTCATTTTCTTTCTATATGTTGGACAACTTAATATCGTTAGTTTTTTTTCTATGAGAAGACATGACTAGATTTCTTTTAGGTTTTAAACATTTTTTTAAACTCAATTTCTACCTGCAACTGACCTGATCATGTAAAGCTTGTATTAAAGAGTACGTCCCAAAGAAAAAACAAGTGGGTGAACATGACAGTGAAAATGCCGCTTGTGTCCACAGAAGCTGGAGAAGTGAATGGAGCGGACAGAGAGCAGGCAGTGAGTGAGCGCTCTGTGCCGGGGAGGCCATGGATGTTGGCAGTGTGGAGAGGAGATTTGGCTGGCAGCAGGCATAAGAGAGCATTAAGCTGGGCTCTGAGCAGCTGGACCAAAACAGACACACTAGAGCTGACAACACACAGGCGTTGATGGGGAACTGAGGCTGGCAAAGTCGGTCCAAATCTCTCCTCAGACCTGGTAAGTCCGGCTTGATTTGGGGTGGAGAGAAAGCCAAAGAAGCTGCCTGCTGGCAAATCCGTATAAGTTATGTAGTTCTGAGCGTATTTAAAAAACATTCCAGTGAAAAGGAACTAACATATAGCTAGGTTGAGATCAAAATAAACCAATATAGTGTTCTTTCATTTTGGAGACATTTTAGTTGAAACTGGAGAAGTTTTACTATACAGCAGTTGCCTTCAGTCTCTTGTGTTTGTACAAGTAGCACATCTGTTTTGCAGATAAGGCTCAGAACAACTGCTTCTAGCTGATATCGCTGCTCATTCCTGCAAACCAGATCTGTCCACACAAGCTATTAAAGGTGATAACATAAAAGACAGGGGGAAAAGTCTGAAGAAAAAAAAAAAGAAAAAAGACAGGAACTGTTTTCCTACCCGAAATTTGAAGCTCGGCTACAGATTTTCTCCAGCTTGCGTCTGAGGTCTGGGTCCAGCTCCTCCAGCGCGTGGGGCTCAGGGCTGGGGGCCTCTTTGGGTCCAACATATAAAACATCCACTGCTGAGTCGGGGAAATCCACCTGATGGGAACATAAATACCAGACCTTGGATCAGTTTATTCTGAGAAGATAAAGCTTCCTTCCTGCACAACTAGCAACTGACTATTTACCTCAAAGATGGAGGTTACCAGAATATACTGTAGTTTCTCTAAGCTTTATGGTCTTTCTCATCATGGAGAAAATAATAGTAACGAATTAAAGTTGCTTAGATCAGACAGTGAAGTAGATATAAGGGTGAGAGAATTGGATGATGAAGCCAGGATTCAGGATTTTGAGAAGCAAAACAAACCACTGTCACCCAATTTAACCTCTATCAGTAGAAAAAAGAAAAGAGGAGAGAAACAGTTCTGTTATGGCGTGAACATGCCAGGCTGCCACTAGAGGCCACATTTAGTGCCATTTCCTGCACATTCAACTGTGGGAATCGCGTTTTAAAAGAACAACATCCACCACAGAAGATTTGCAATACTGATATAAGCCCCATCTGATTAAAGTAGGAACTTGGCACGGCCATGCAGCCTCCAATACACTCATTCAAGCTAACTGTTCTCCATCACACAGGCTTAGGAACAGAAAACTTGTGCTATAAACGTGTAATGGGGGCGTTTGTACTAACCTGCAGAATAATTCTCTCTGCAGGTACCCTCTTGCGACTGCCCGTAGAGCCGGCTGCAGCTGCTCCCTCTGCACACGTCCACAGACACAGCAGCCGGGGGCCTCCAGCAAGAACTCTGTCACACACAGGCAGCACTCAACACGGGCCGAACAGCAGCTCTGAACACTTGCATTCAGACGGTTTTACATTCATAAAGGGTAGAAATGATGGTTTCTTTCATTTCAGTGCTAATAACCGTGATTAGAAAATGCGTTTATAATGTGCAAATCAAGTGGAATACACAACTTGAACACAGCAACAACTCTTTCTCACCCTCTGAAATCAAAAAGGGACAAGGAGACTTTGCCCAGAAGTTCTGGGGCTTTTCTCTGTTTGTTGGAATCCGGGGAGCCACTGGCGTTCTGGTTCAGCACCCCGAACAGAGTCAGGCTCAGGATGGACTCCAGTGGGAGCACGGCCACTGCGATGGGGAAATGAACCCTTCGAGAGACGGGGACAGGGTCAGCGGCACAGAGGAACAGTAAACGCTGCAAACTCAAGAAAAATGCTGAATGACGGACAAATTATGAGGAAGGAAAAGGACAGGACTTACAGTTCATCAAATTTGATGTGGTAGAAGAAGCTTTTGTATGTCCCCACTCTCTTCGACTGGACTGGCTTGAACAGGTTCTTCCCATTGTGGGTGAGGGAACACATAAGGAAGTACTTCTCGTAGCTGAAACAACACAACAAATAACCAGTGCTTGCTTATTCTGTGTAAAGTATGCTCACATACTGTAAACTGTTTATGAAAAACTCTGCTAATGGAAATGTAGAGGCCTACTCAGGCAAAATCAAATATTTAATGTATGTACTTTGAGTTGTTAACATCAGTTTAGAATTTTCTGCATATTCATTCAACTGCACAAGTTTAAACATTGATACGTGCCATCAAATCAAACAAAATCACACATGATGTGATGTGAGAGACTTTCTTTCACAACAAACAATTCAGCAGAATATAAACCCGCGGGTGGATTGCATCTCATTTGTGATGAAAAGCCACAGATCTGTGTTAGTGACCCAATCTAAACAGCACACGAGCCCTTTGAACAGCACATGGAAGCTGAACAATAACAATAAAGGCTTTTTGTTTCACCTGCCTTTTGGCACTTGAACTGCATTGGGAAGATGATGTCTCCTGGCAAATGTAATATAAGGCACTGTGGGAGATGTCAGCTGTGTGGTTTAAAAACACTGTTTAAAAAGCGGTTCATAGGGGAACAATTGAAAACATCTGGGGATCTGGGACAACGCTAAAAAGTGTCCAACTATGTATAGTTCTTGGAATTAAAAAATGTATTTAAAACACACAAAAATCCCTTGCAAAAAACAACAATGAGGCTTTTTTTTGTGAATAAATTTAAATATTTAAATTGATATTTCCAGATGTGATGCCATAAAATGCCTTTTTTTAACAAGTGCATTAAAGTTATGTTCTACGCCATGACCAGCTCCACCACCACTCCTGGTGTCCAATGTGCTGGCAAGGCTGCGCCATCTACCGGGGCTCCAGGTGGAGGGGGCGTTACCGGGGCTCCAGGTGGAGGATGTGTTACCGGGGCTCCAGGTGGAGGGGGCGGTACCGGGGCTCCAGGTGGAGGGGGCGGTACGGGGCTCCAGGTGGAGGACATGCATATGCATATGCACTGCTGCTCATCCAGAGGGGAAAGACTGAACCTGCGGCATCTCTCTGGTTCTGGGTTGAGAGCAGCTAAATATATATCTAAACATTTTTTAGGTATCTTTGGAATGGCAAGTCTGTGCAGCAGTATTTGTAGTTAGCTTAAAATAGCTGCTGGAAGAGGCTGTGCCAGAGTAAATAGGACTGTTATTAAGCGGTGCCTCTTTTCACAAAGGCCTTAATGGCTGACTAGAAAATTGCAGTGGAAGAAGGCAAAGCAGTGATCCAAAAAGATTTTTTAAAAAGCAACAAAAAAAAGCCCATGACTTGAATTTTTTAAGTCATGTTGTTCAGTTTTAATCAGACTTTTGTGTATTGATGACAAATGGCCCAATTTAAGCTTCACAGTGCATATTTCTAATTACCTATCAGCAACAACATCTTTCTGTTAGCAGTTGAGAATCATATTCCGGTCAGAAAACCCAATACATTTATTTTTCACATGCTGTCAGAATTTCTAGAACCTCTGCAAGAGGCTTCAACTGATCCCACTCACTGAAGTGTGGCAGAGCTGGGGATGGAAAATTTGGCTCAGCTCTGCTTGAGACAGACAAGAGATCAGGTCTGGGTGAAACTAGACACTGGCGTGGAAAAACGAGAGATAGGGAGCAACACCGGAGCTGCTTCTTTGAAGCGAGGAAACCGGGCTTGCTGCTCTGTCAGAATAGCTTGGGAGGTCAATTTGTTTATTGTAGAATCACACAAAAAGCCCCAAACACTAGCTTAAAACGCAGCGCATAAATGGCTATTAAATAAAGCTTATTTTTATGCTTTCTTTCTTTAGATGGCTGCTTGTGAGATTGTCACATGACTTTAATATGCTAGTTGTTAACAAACATGGCGGGTAGTTTCTCTGGGCAGCAGGAATGACTGGACACTGCATGAGACCGCTTACCTGCTGACCCAGCTGCCTGGAATGCCGTGCAGGGCGAACAGAGTGAACTGCAGGTGGTCGGTGGTGCCCGAGGCCTCTCTGCTGCTCTTTGCCTCCCCGGTCTCCCCTCCGTCTGCCACCTGGGGCAGCGGGGGGGAGCTGAAGGAGGGTGAGGGGGGGCAGAAGGAGCGCAGGTAGAGCTTGGCAAGCTTGTAGACAGCCTTGGTTAGCAAGGCCATGCTCTCCTCCACAGGACTGGAAACACCTGTTAGGATCAGATATGGATCAGTGTGAGCCCGGGGTGAGCTTAAAGAGAAAGTACTACAAAAAACAAGGCCACGGGAGAAACATCTCTTTTAGTCGCATCTCAGTGGGTGAGTGGAAGCAGCTCTTCATCTCACAGGACTTACCATTTGATGACTGACCAGATGACCCCATCTGGAAAACAACAACGCCAATTTAAGAAAAAAGAGACAATCAGACACTGACTAAAGCTGCACTGCTTCAAAGGCCCACCTTGGGTGAGCGTGTCCTGGGTAGGTTGACGGAGTGACGCAGTCTTTTGACTGCCTCTGTGATGGCCTGAGTCTCAACCTCATCCAGAGCACAGCAAAAGTTCTTCACCGTCTGCACCACCCGGTCCACGCTCTTGTACTGGGTACTCTGGACAAAACCATACAGGAGAGGTTGGTACAGCCTGCACCTCAAACCGATTACTGTGCATGCTCACTGTACATTGCACATCATGGTTATTGCAAGGCACATTTCAGCTGATTTTTGATGTCTGAAAAATGAACAAATGTGTATTCTGGCTGTCTGTTCAAGTTTTAGTCAATGTCCCCTCAATAACATTAATTGGTTTTATACTGTGTATCACTTTATATAGTCCCACGATAAATAAAACAAAAAAAACATGACCATGGTACTATATCTCACAGCTTCATTTTTTCACCCAAAACTAAAAGACGGTGTCGTTTTCCCTTTTTTTCATTTCCAGTCATTCACAGGGACCACATGTACCTCATTTTGCAAGCAGATGTTGACTTGATTATGATAGCCTTCCAAGTAGTCAGCAAGGCCTTGCCTGCAAAAAAAAGACAGATATTTGACTTATTCTGGGGGATCTGGACAGAACACAGACGGTTTCTGTTGAGAGGCAGAAAAAGGCCTCCTCAAAACAGGAGGCTAAGGCTCTACAGATAAAGCACCTGAAGTGAGACACATAGGTAACTTAGGAACAAATTATCTCCAGTAAATCAACTCGTACCTGGTGACAGTCTCCTTAAAAGGCCTCTCCACTTGGCCAAGATGTTTCTCCAAGTCTATTCGAGAATTGTCATCTTCTTCCTAAAAACCCAAAACAGAAGACTTTTATATTTTGTCAGCACACAGCACTGGGACAAAACCTGAAAACCAAGCCTGCAACCCAAAACATCGGAATTTACAGGACAGGTCATCTAAAATGCGCCTGATAGAGTGACTTACACTGCGTGCCAAGTCCCTCCTCATGGTTGAGTGTGAGAGCAGCTGTAATGTGATCTCATTCTCCCACTTCCGGCAGTTCTGGACATATTCGTGGCTCCCGAGGCCGTGTTTACTGTGGCAGAGTGACGGAGGCACAGGGTAAAATAGCACCAAATGTCAGGAATAAAGATGACAGGTTGATGGAAAGAGGCGCAGCAGTGTTAATTACGACTGGATATAGAGACTAAGTTTTAGTCATGACAGAAATCCTTCAGGAGGGTTTTCCACGCTCTGCCCACTGTGACATAAACAAGAGCAGATTCGACCATTGACTGGGATACTACATGGGTCTTTGACTTAAAACCTCATGAAAGTAGGACTCTCAAGAGTAAAAAATTGTTTTTTTAAATCTGAAGTCTGTCTCTGCAAAAACAAACTTTTGGGGATGATTACAAACATATTAGGAAGAGTACATACAGTGTGGGCATTTTGACTGAGGCTATAATGAGGTGGAGCTCATTTAACTACTTAATTCCCATCACAGAAGATTAAATATGTAGCTGTATATGTTTGGTTGAACGCAGCTTTAAATATGGTTAGGAGGGGCGCATTTCCCACGTATCCTAGAATAGAGGTAGTAGAGGAGGTTCAAGGGTGAGACATAAAAAAAACTCATCAACCAGTCCTTTTTGTACAAGACATAGAGAGCGTGCCAAGATAAGAGTGATATGCTTAGAAAAGAGCTAAGTAAAACAAACCTAATCCTCATGGGAAAAGAGATTTCTGGGGCTTTCTGAAAGGGCAATGCTTTTTGGTACTCCAGTACTCACTTCTGCAGCACCTCCTCCCGACCACAGACTTTGAGCAGATAAGTGGAGAAGTCCACCTGGTCCAAGTCGTCGTGGACCCAGCAGAGAGTCTGACTGATCAGCAGCTCCACCGGAGAGCTCACTGTGGCACAGAGAAAGGCACACAAGGTGGTGTGAGCCAGAGGGATAGATCCACAGATCAAGAGATGGGGCAAGGTTAAAAAAAAGATTAAAAGAAAGAAACAATGCATCTGAAAAAAATAAGGCCTTATGCAGATTTCATCTAGAATTCAATTATCTGACACAAAATAACAGTCTACATGTAACAGTCTGCTCTGTCAAAGACCTGGATGTAATAGCAATGTGTTCTGAACCCCTTTAAGAAGCAATGCTCCTGTAGTGTAGAGATTTACCTGGACTCGTCTAAAGCCACTGTGAAAATGTTCAGGCGATGTTAAAAGGCTGCTTTTACAGTTGTATTAAATCAGCCAACGGTCTTGTGGGAATGCCTCCAAGACCGCAAAACATCCTGCCAGGTTTTTGAAAGACTTGCACTTCAGATTCAAAATAAACCAGTTCTTAAATCAAAGGACTTAACAGCGGCGTGCTGTAGAAAAAATATCAGCTGGGGGGGGCGCTCAGCTCTTTGTGTGTTTGTGATTCTCCGATAACTGATGCGTCCAGCTGGGAGAAGACTGCTGTGTGAAGGCTGTAACCCGACACCATGCAGGTCGCTCTGCTGGTTATCTGCTCCTTCAGACGGTTTAAGCACATCCTTAATATACACAAACACTGGATGACTGACACAAAGACAGACTCCGCACACAGAAACATCTTGGATTTGAACTAAGCACATATTCTCTGGTTACTTCATGGGCAAATACAAAGGAGGCCACTCCTGGCTCCAGGAACAACAGACCACCACCCCTCAGAGGAATGGAGTCCTCTCCAACTGCTTCGTCCTGAATGTCTGGATGGCCACGCAGCCAGTTGGATACATGTGATGTATGGGTATTTTCAAAATATATAGTCAGACAGAGCCCAGCTCTCTGAGAATGTACTGAGGCCATAACAAAGAGCATATAAGGACAGAGTTTAAAAGAGAATCCAGTTCCTTAGGACATGAGGAATGATGTTGGCAGGGTCACGCCTGGACCAAAATTTTACAAAAATCTGGAACAGACACATGTCTACAAACTTGGGATTTCAGTAAGAAGTTGGATGAATCTGACAGGGAAAATCTTTGTTGTAATTCTTAATGACCAGCCTCAGATACAGTTCGGAGTTCAGATCCAGCTGCTGGCATGCAGGGTTTGCTGAGTTGAGCTGACAAGAGGGCGCTTCCAAAGCCAGGACTCACTCGGCACTTGTTAAATCTACAAGCCAAACATTGGAAGGATGTGAGAGGGACGGTAGCGATTCCCCGGTGACTCAGAGCAAATAGAGATTTCTGCTTCTGTTAGAAGGCCGGCCGTCAGACACCAATCCACCGACCAGCAGGAGAGAGCAAACGTCTGAGTAAATACTGTTACAGTACAACACTAACACAGTTCAAGGATTGTCTCTTGATTAAGGTGCATTAGGCAACCCTAAAAATTAGGTATGCGTCACAATTCAAAATCACAACAAAAGGACTGTCTTGATTAAGCATGGTTTGAAGTCAAAATAATAATTAAAACCCTCTAGCTGCACTAAAAACACACAGGCAGATTTATTTAATATCCTTTGGCTTAATGTACCATGTGATCAGTACAGTCCAAACAAACTCAAGTTCAGGAACTTTCAGAATCTCCATCAGCAGAAACAAACTCCAAGACGTGTCATACAGTGGCTTGCACAGTGACAGCAAGCTAGGAATGTATTTTCCGATAAATCCAAGTCAGTTCATCCAAATGTCTGGGAACTTTTGACTTCCAACAACATTCCTCAGGTCATGTCACACGCAGGCTGAAGTGAGACATGGCCACCCCAAGAAATGTACTTTCCTTCCTTCCAGTGGCGGCTGGTGAAAAAAAATCTTGGTGGGGCTGGTGTGCCAATATATTTCCCTGCCTAACCCAGTACATGCATTCAAGTTAAAAGTCGTAAAATTACTACAATTCCACAATAATGATTTAATTCCCTTATCAGAATCAGCAGTTTACATATACAGTTAACCATTTGAAGCTATATTAGGTATTATTTTGGAAGGGAACAGTATGAAATACAACACTCAATTTTACTATTTTTCACCAAACACACAAAGTAAGCACACAGGTGGTTAGCTTAACACAGTTAGCTTAACACAGTTTTCCATATGAACTCTTGATATTTCATGTTTCTTAGTTGTTCAGAGAGGTGTTCTAAATCTGTCTGTCCAGACTGTGTCCACGTCAAATCACTCCGGTCACTTTTAAAAAGGATGCGGGAAAAACATAACTGCGTTGGCCGTCCCACCGGCTGTCAGCCAGGACTTAGGCTGGAACCAACTCCTGCTAAAGGCCGGCTGTAGGACTTAGCTTTTTCATTGGTTCGCTGCGTTAAATTTATTTCGGACTTGTCAGGTCCCAGCTTCTTTACGTTAAATTTTTCCACCATTGTCCTTCTCACGTAAGGAGATCTCAGTAAAGATCGCACTGAATTATGTGAAAGCTGCTCTACAACTGTCGCCGTCGCCGTCATCTCCACGTCACAGCCTGACTGACCAATAGCTATACGTCTATGGCTTTGGGGCGCCAGCTCCAAGCGCCCCAAAGCCAATAATTTCGGCGATGCTGATTGGCCAAATATTTATTAATTTTCCCTAGCAACATTTTTCAATTGGTTATTTCTCTGCACTTCTGGGGCGCTTGGGGCTAGCGCCCCAGAAGAGAAACGATACGTTCTGTGGGTGAAAATGCACCGTTGAATGAGAGTCAACTGGTGGAAGTGTTGTTTTAATAATTCATATTACATGTAGCCACATATTATTAAGTAAAATTGACATTGATAATACTTTAAAAATAAATAAAAATATTATAACTTTCCCCCTCCACATCTAGGGGGGGCGGCGCCCCAGCGCCCCCTATGGGCCGGCCGCCACTGCTTCCTTCTATTCTACAGCACTTCTTTGCTATGGGTCTGGTGGACTTATACCTCCAGACCTCCAGTACTCCAAAGGATCCACAAGCTGGTATCTCCTGAAGCGCACTGTTCAGTTCAGCTCTCTGCTCATCATCCTGGTAGACTGGGATTAGGGGGAGACCTCACAGTATCCCACTATTGTGATCCCAGCTGTGAACTGTGTCATTTTGAAACATTTAGTATAAAATCTAAAAAACTAAACTATTTCACTGTACATTTTATTTTAAAACTATGTTGAAATTTACTGCGCATATTGAGCTAAATAGAACGGCTCAGCAAAAACTGCGCAGGTACTCGGTACTTTCGCCTTTAACTCAAAACTAACTACTAACTAACAAACACACAATCCAAAGAGTCGGAAATGTTCCTGGACAAGTTGCAACAAGCACAACCACCAAGCTGCCTGCCTCAGTCACATGGTGATAAGGTTTTTTCCACTAATGCCATTTGCTAAGGGTAGCTTTCGTTTCAAGACAGACAGCATTAACTTTCCACTGAATTGAGTAAATAGCGATGGGGGGTGCCCATCATGTAACATATGTTTGCCTTCCACCATTTTATGCTAATGAAAGTGTAGCCCTATAAAGTCAGGCCAAACCAGTTTCTTATAAGTGTACATTTGTAGAGATAAAACTGTGTAGAGCCTAATAATTCTTCAACCTAATGCTTATTTTGAAGAAACATTAGAGCTTTCTCCCAACATCTGAGCTACAGGCAAAGACGCGAGCCAACTTCCAACATTTTCTCATTCACGCAGGTCTGCCTCTTCCGTGCGCTCCAGTTTATTCCTGTCTGCACTTTCACCACCTTTCATCTGAATATTTTCCATTCTTTGGCACTCTTTTGCTACACATTTACACATCTTCCCACCTCTTCTTTCATTTTTCTCCCTCCCAGTTTGGATCTCTGCTCCTACACTTTTCACATCCTCCCTCTCTCTGCACATTCTTTCTGCATTTCTTTAATGCGCTGTTGCCCCCCCCCCCCAAAGAAAAAAGACTCAACCTCCCCTCCTCAGCCACAGAATGCAAAGAATCTTTAGAAACCATCAGAGGCTCACAGACAGGGCCTAAGGCAGTCAGTCGTCTTCCTATCTGCTCACTTTCCTTCAAATATCTGTAACATCCATCTCAATCACTGCCCAATATGTCTCAGATGTCCATCAGTTAAACTGAGTGGAATATCCTTCTGCAATATCAACCAGAGGTTAAATACATTTGGACAAACTAAGCAAAGACTGAAAGACATTAGAGCGTGTGACAGATAAAAAGAGATTAAATACAAATTTAATTGTAAATCAGCGGATGAGAGAGGATATATAATATTGGCAATGGTATTTAATTTTATTCTCTTGTTTATGTTAAGATTACTGGACAGAAGAAGGAAACTTTGACAGAGCAGGATAGTTGCCAGTTACCATAAGAAAAACAACGATGGAAGGAAACAAGAGCTGAAAAGAACAAGAAAAAAGGTTGAATCATGTGAAAGACAAGCAGCATTTCTCTCCTCTGTCTCTTGCTCATTCTATCCAAGAAATAACTGAGGCCCTTTGTTCCAGAGAGCCGATTTGCGCCCAATCAAAGGAATCCAAACACCACCCATGTGGGTTCAACACTCTGCTGACAACACAGGAAGACACTAGGAAGTAATCAGATATTGATCATTAAGGAGAAAGGAGGGCTAGGGAGTGAACTGTGGAGGAAAATAAGGTACAAGATGAGAGAGGGCACAGCCCTCAGAAATCGGGAGTGGTATAAAGAATGAGTAAAGACTGTTTTAGAAGGTTTTAATGTTGTAGAAAATAATGTGTTTTTGGACCAGGCGAGTTATTTAAAAGAAATCAGACAAAATGCAGAGGCACTGTGTGAAAAACTGTGAAAACGCCATGATTGGAGCTTGGAAACCTTCCTTCAGCACCAATGACCTGCAGTAGTTATTTTCCGTATGATGTTCTCAGTCTGTTTTGGAATCATATGCAAAAGCCTCAGAATGTTTCTGACGAAATCCACATATAGATAAAGATAGGGTGGGCTCATGTGGACTGGGACTGGGACAGATAGTAGGGACCTTGTTACCCAGCTGGGATTATACGCCTGGCTGAAAGCCTCAGATTGGCTTCTGACCTCCAGGGTGCTCAGACACAGACAGTCAGTTTCAGCAGTGGCCGATGTGCGAGTGAATAAAGAAGGGCAAAGTGCAGCTATCCACTAACTGGAACTAAGCCAAAAAATGTAGATGGGCTTTGGTGGAAAAATTCAATTCATACCAAGTCCCTTTTGTTCAAAATGGTTACTGGTTGAGTGTGGACAAACCTTCGTTTGTGTGGAAAAAGAACAAAGTACACTTCCCAGGACAGAAAAAAACAACAACAATGCGAGGAGGGGGTGAAGAGTTCAGCAGGGCTTTGTTATTTCCTCAGATTCAGAGATCTGCTCTCTGAAATCTGCTCTGCTTAGTACTAAAGACAAAGGGCTGGATTCTGAAGTAAGTCCGTTTCAGATGGTAGAGTATGAATGGTCAGGAAAGAGACAGAGTACATCCATGGTGCTTGACTGCTCAGGCTTTCAGAATCTTACCATCGCAGGTGAAAGTCACAGGCTGCTGGGATTCAGAGATTTCAATAGAAACCTTGACAGAGCAGCTATTGTCACCTCCAGCGTCTCTCTGGGTGATGACCGGGCTGAGGACAAAGCCAGGGTTCGTTGTGATGTCGCTATGGGGGAATTTGGAGCGCAAGCTGGAGGAGATGTGAGAAACAAAAGAAAAAAAATCAAAACAGAAACGGCGGAAAGAACATCAACATTTTCTCTTTTATATTTTGGTCGTTTTGGCCAGTGAAAACAAATGAGGGGAGGAAGCAAAGGCCGGCCAGGCCCATGAATTAGATCTCCTGGACGAGACTGTTGGGTATAGCAAGGAGCAGTGTAAAAGGAAATTTGGATGGAAGGGAGAAGGGAAAAAAAGTCCAAAATTTCTGGCATTTGTATGCACATTTAGTAGAAAGTCTAATGAAATATTTGAACTTAACACTCGTATCCTTCCAAATGATGTGACCATGTGGAATCTGTTGCTAAAGCCAGGTGACAAAAACCCTACAAAAAGGATTTATCTATTTATATCCCTTCTGCACTTTGAAGAGAAGAGATTCATCTTGTGCTTGTTGAGTGAGGACTATGCGGGGTGTCAACATTGCGATGGTAATTAAAGTGGATTCCTGGTGCAGCTTCATCATCCCTCTCCACCCAGCTGTACGCTGCCCCGGGAGGGGGAGAAAAAACCTGTGGCATTGATCTCTAAACATTGGAAGAATTATCTTTACTCATTCTTATCAATAGCTTTCAGTTGTTGGTGTCCAAAAGGATAAAAGTAGTCACTGCTTCACAAAAAAGAAAAAAGGTACGAATAAGTTCGAATAATGGAAATGATGTTGATTCTATCAGTTTTGACCACAAATGCCTGTCGGTGTGTGTTGTTGTATGTCCTGTACCACTGCAATGAGCACTGGTCACCACACATATAACAGTTAACAGGGACTTTAACGGGCAAAAACAGAGGAGCTCATGCAAACTGTTGGGGCCTCACGTTGCCACGTCTGTGCAGAAGGCCACCATCTCCAGGTTCTGAGCGTCCTGCTCCTCCAGGGCCACGTTCTTCACCAAGCCTTTCCCCTTATCCTGCAAGAGTAGACAGGCAGACAGAAGCACAGAGAGGGCGTCAGATATGGAGTAAGCTTGCTTTTGAACAGCGGCAGCCCTGCTAAAGGCAGCTGGACAAAGGAAGTGACCACATAAAACCAGCTTCATGTTATCGTTGAACAACAAGAGAGTGTACATGCTTGGTGGCAACTTGTTCCAAGGGATTCAAAGGCAGTTGCATTAAAAACACCGTAGCTCCATGAATTCTAAGAGGGGAATAGAGGAGTCTGTAAGGGTAAACCGTACATGTCCAGCTCCTTTATGCAGCTGTCACAGACTGTGTGCTTCAAAGCATTGGTGTAACATTTACTCAGGCTGAGCTTAAATTCCGGTTCAACACAATGGCTGACACCTTTGATTGGGTGTCTGTAATGTCAGTTTTTAATGTGTACAGCTCCTGTCCAACGTTCACTGTGGAAGAATTTTCTTCTGTCTGCAACAAAGTGGTGAGTTTTGAGCCAGTCTTCCAGTGAGAGATGACCTACATTAGTCTGATAAAAAAGACTCATCTTCCACAGCTGTTTTTGCTTCATTGTGACTCTATGAGAGTACTGCTGGCATCAAATGAGAAATGTCTTTTGGAACAGAAAAAAAAAACTATGAACAAATTATAGATGTGTATATTTTTTCCATCAAGACTTTTTTTTTTTTTTAAATAGCAAAGATCTTTTGGAGGCCAAGTTGAAATTGCCATAAATCGGCCTCTCTCCTTCTGGCTCCCCCTTTGCCTGCTGTCTTTCACGCACTAACATACACACACATAAAAATAAATCCTGAGACAGCTCCCCTGGGAATTACTCGAAGAGATTCCTGGAGGCTGGCCTTCTGCCGGGAACTCACAGTTACAGTGCTTTTTTTCCTCTTCGTACTGCTGTCTGATTGCCAGCGGCTGAGGAATGTGCTTCCTGTGGCACAGGAAATGAGAGGTGTAGGGCCCCGCCCCTTCCTGCGGCCGGCTCTGGACTGTCTGCTAAAGTGCTCAGTCATGGCTTCAAAATCTGCCTGACATCACTCTCAAACTGGGGCAGCGAGAAGTGGAGAGGAATGTGGGGGGGGGGGGCTGAAAAATGCTTAGAATGCAATGATAACAGCGTCATTTTCAGTTTGGAGCATACGAGTGATTATCTGTATCCAACAACAGCAGCACCTGAACACCTGCTGCAGCTTGTTGTTCGTCAGGTCGAGTTAATTCCAAGAGGAGCCACCAGTATTTCTCTGCAGCTTCACCCCAAATGCAGATAGATAGTCCTGGCCCTCCTTACCACGACCTGCTCACAGATAGAACACCTGCCTTTGCTGCTGGACAAAACCTTTCCCTCAGTCCGGGTCGTTACCTGCTGCATGTCACCATCTCATTGGGGCTAAACTGGAGCAAGATGCACCTCAGTGATGAAGCAAAGTAACGACACGAGCCCCAAACATTTGCCAGAGCTTTGCGG